TCTGGTTTTGGTAGCATTTGGTCTTTGTGGCTGCTGAACTGGAGGAGCTCCATAGGCAGCTTTGAGATTCTTGAGCATTTCTGATTTAGGAGCCTTCAAACCACTACTGATTGTCATGGAATCTGTTCTTTCATGTCTGTGGCATGCTTACCTCTGTGATTTCCCTCACTGGATCCACATAGTGATGCTCAGTGGTTTTGGGGGGCACAGTTGAGGTCACTCAGCAGGTGCTGTGTGATGTCTTTATGCAGTGGTGACTGACTCGGGTTGTTTGCGCATCACCCCAGAAATGGCAAAAGGAATGAAGACAGCTTGAAGTTTTAAAAAACTGAGAAAGATCCAAAAACTAAGTCATCGGATGGTAGAGAGTTTGTCTCAGGAATGTTGTTGCTTAAGAAAGACTGAGGCTGCAGCAGGCATAGCTTTCTGGGGAAGGTGACCGGAGAGCCCGGAGCGCTGAGGTTGGGGTGTGTATCCAAAAGCAGAGCGAGCCCAGGCTCCGTTCCATCGCGTGTCTGGGATGGGGAGTCCTCAGTGCCGGTGGGTCAGAGGAGCAGCAGGGAGGGTGGCCAGGGGATCTGCAGGTCCTCCTGGGCTGTCTCACTGGGATGATGTGGTGGAGGAGATGACTGGGCCGAGGTTGGCTCCCAGAGGCACAGGCAGCCCTGGGGCTCAGCAAACACACCCGCTCCAGGCAGGAGCACTGCACACACACACCCCCAAAGGAGCCTCCAAAAGGTCAGCCAAGAGGAGGAGCTGTGCCGGGGGCTGCGGGAGCCACTTCAGGGCACCATATGTGCTGTTCAAGGCCATCACCCACTGCCTGTCACGAAAGGCTTGCAAAAAGCAAGAGGAAGGCAGCAGAGCTCGACAGCAGTGAAGTTGTTAGAAAGAAGCAGGTGTCCTTTAAAAAGCTGATTTCACACCCCCATGCTGTATTAAACATATGTAAGTGTGAAAACATGGTCAGACAGGCAAAGGAATGTTTGAGCAAATGGTGCAAAGAGTTGGAACCGGTGATAGGTCTTACTTCTGGTGCCCCAGGAGCACTGTCTGCCAGGCTTGGTGTAGAAAGGATCTTTAGGGAGGCCTGTCCCAGAGCTGTTAACCCAACCCTTTGCTTTGGTGTTCCTTGTGCAGAGAAACTCTGGCTTATCTCACGGTGCAGCACTCCTTCCCAGGCTCTCCCGAGAGGGATGTGAAGCTGCAGTGGTTTGATGGTTGTTCATTGGTATTCATGCCGATGCTCAGCTCCTGCTGTTAGCCTGTGCTGAGCTTTGTATTCAGTCCCTTTGCCTCCTGCTGCCCTGACAGTGAGTACAGAGTAACCTGCTAATGTCATAGAAGTTACTAAACAAAAGTCAGGGGGTTGGGAATCTGGGTGTCCATTATTGTTTCCTTGCAGACAGAAACTGGATGTGCTGACTTTTCATGATCCAAATTCAGTAAGCTGTATCTATGACTGAGGCCTCTGTTTTCATGTTTCATGGAGTTTGACATACTTGTACCTCTGATCTGCTAAAGAAACATGCAGTTTGAATGGAGCAAATGTCTTGGTCTTCCAGACAAGGTAAGATGGGCTGTTAGAAAATGCCTTTTTCCCTCAGTGCTGACTGTGGTTTCCAGGCTGCTCATTCCCACGTCCACACTGTGGGTCAGGCTGGTGTGGCTGTGCAGCTGCATGGCAGCCTGCATGGGGAGCAGGGCCTGGACCCCAGCAGCTCTGAGGGGAATGTCCGTGGGCATTCCCTGCACAGCCTCTGAGCAGACAGGCGAGACAGTTCTCTGGGTAACTGGATTATGTGCTCAGCTAAGCGACTTGTGGGGCAGAGATGGGTGTTAGGAGGGAGGGAGGTGACAGGCCATTGTGGAGCAGATGGATCCTCAGCTCTCCTGGAATTAGGACAAGCTGTGGCTAAAGGTAGTGTGCTCCAAAAGCTGATACTCCTTTCGTGTTTGCTTCAGCACACGTTCAGCATACTCTGATGGATTGCACAGTACAGATTCCCTGTGCTTATGGGACTATGCAGCTTTGACACAACAAACCTTTTCTGTCAGTGGGAAAAACCGCAGGAACCAAACCTGTCTCTATTGAAATTTTGTCAGGCTTCCCTACAGCTTTAGAATATAGAGAATTGGCCAAAAGTTGGTTTGTTTGGTTTAATGAAACAGTGGGTTTTGCTAATCAGTAAAAATCTGTCTGGTTTGATCAGCCTCATGTTAAGAAACACCTCCCTCCATGTCCATAATGCATATAAAAGAGACTAATTCTTCTCAGTTGTTGCGAGCACTGGTCAAAATTCATTGTCTGCATTTGCCTTGTGGGTAACAGAGGGGGAGAGAGAAAGAGGGATATTAAGTCCTTGAGGGTGCATTTCCATCCCGTCTGGTTTAGGAGGAGGTAAAGTGCTTCCTGAAGATGCTGTGTCTCTTGGGTTGCCAGAGGGAGCACAGATCTAAGCATGCTCTCAGCTTTTCAGACAGCTAAGGCTGTAGGAGGTGAATCCCACTGCACATGTCATGTGTTAAGATCTTGAGGTGGGTTGTGACCTGAACTTCGTGGTTTTTGTTTCTTGTGCAGCTCTAATGTATATCTTAGAGTGGCTGTCGTAGTCAGGTAGCTTTGCTGGCTGTGAAGTTCTTGTCTCCTGTGCACACCACACACGTGGGGATTCAGTGGCAGACTGCTCCATTGGTACAAGGGTTTGCTTTCTTCTATTAACTCGTGCGGCTGCTCAGATTTATTAGGTGTCGCCTTGTTCTTGTGTGGGGAGACAGAAGAGAAACCTATTTGTCAGCTCATACAAATCCTTTTCGGGTTTCTTTCTCTGGTAACTTTGGTGAGAGTCTTGTCTGCCCAAGTCTTACTGCTCTGGGATGGTGCTAGAAACAGCATGACAAGCTCAGAGAGTGCAGCAGGTTTGTGCAATAGTGTTGGAATATTTTTCCTGTTGTTTCCCGTCCTCTTTCCTGTGTATGCAGACGAGGTGTTAGCTGCTCTGCGTGCTGGTACCCACGGAGCAGTGTCTGCACAGTGTGGCTTTGGTTCCCCTGAGCAGTTCAGTCTGGCCCTGGCAGTGAGTGGTTCGAGTTAGTCCCTTTGGTGTGCACTGTCTGCATTCACCAGCACCTGATTTCATCTGTTCTTGGTGCTGAATCACTAGCAGCTCCCACACGGGGAACAGAGGATTCTAAACAGATACTGAAACATGAGGCAAAGAGCGACCAAAACTGCTGAAGAACTGCCACTGTAACTCCTTGAGAGAACTAGGTACAGCCTTGTGTTTGGTTTGGTTCCTGTGCTGGAGGAAAGTCAGCACAGTTCTGCTTTCCTTTCAGCCCTTTCACACCTACATATGCCTTTTGAGAGCCTCACCGTGGTGTTTCCAGGCCTTCTGCTGTCCTGAGCTACCAAGGGTAAGCAAACCTTTGGATTTGACTCCAAGCATCAGTGCTCTGAAGCCCCATCCTGGCCCTGCACCGTCCCAGTGTCTCTAGAGCAGGTGAGGGTGCTTGTCTGTGCACAGGCTGAGGTTCCTGGATGCTCAAAGGACATGTTGGCCCACTGTGCTGAGAGCACAGGCTGGAGCAGTGTGGCTCAGGTGAGCAGAGGACTGGGCAGCCCTGCGAACCAGTGTCTCTGTGTTTGCACTGAAATTCACCTCTTGCAGCACACACACTCCCATGAGAATCCAAATTAGATCTCGAGTGGAAAACTGATGTTTTGTTTATAGCATCTTTCGCCATTCATCTCTGCCTTCAGCTCTGGTGTTTGATTCCTGCAGGGTGGCACAGACATTGCTTTTCCCACATCCCATCTGTCCCCGTGGCACAGGGAGATGCTCAGCCGAAATGCCACGGGTGGGCTGGGGGAGCTGGGCAGGTCTGACCGCGGCTGGGCCATGACAATGCAGCAGAGGTATTTTTGTGCAGCCTCCTCCATGGAAGGGATGCAGAATGGCTTTGCAGTGAGTCATCTGACAGCTGAAGAACTCGAAGTCTGTAGTGGTATTTAAAGAGAAAGTGGCTCATGGCTGACAGAGTTCAAGACAGAAAAAGAAACAGAAATGAAAGAGAGGGCTCCTACCGTGGAGAAAATAGAGGCAAAGACTGGTTAGGGGGAGGAGTGGTGAGAAAGCCAAACGAGCTGAGAGTGTCAGGGGCAGTTCAGGAGATTATGCAGATCATTCTCAAGTGTTGGGCTTCAGGTGTCTCCCCCGAGTTACTCCAGCGTTAGCCGAGCAAAGGTTCTGTGACCTAGGGGAGTGGTGTAGACCCAGATAAAGAGCTGGGCTCGGTGCACGGTGAGGAGTTTACAAACATGCAGGTGGAGGTTGAGGAAAGGATAAATGGCTTAGCTGTGCAGAGCAAGACACTGGAATGTGGTGGCTTCATCTTTGCTGCTCACCAGGTCCTGTAAAGTATATAGCACAGAGGACATTAAAGTCTTTACCGAAAGCAGAAGGGGAGAGAGCTTGTCTTCTTGGGGACCTCATGAATGGATTGAAGTCCATGAACAGGAGGTGCCAAGAGGATGATCAGACTCTGCTCAGTGGGGAAACCAATCAAACAAGAGGGAACAGCAAAACTGATGCCCAGGAAGTTCCATCTGAACACAAGGAAGAACTTCTTTGCTGTGCAGTTCCTGAGCACTGAACAGATTGCCCAGAGAGGTCGTGGATTCTCCTCACTGGAGGTGTTCAGGAACCCTCTGAACCCTGAGCTGAGCCATGTGCTCTGGGCTGGCCCTGCTGGAGTAGGGAGATGGGACCAGTGACCCACTGTGGTCCCTTCCAGCCTGACCCACTCTGTGATTCATACTCAGAGCACTCAGAAAAGTTGGCTTTGACATTGTAGTAGTGAAAGGCATGCTAAGCATAAAAATAAGGTTGGAGCCACTCAGGTATCCCAGAGTCTGAAGGCTGTAATATTTCACTGTAGTTCTAAAATGCTTATTGCAAATCTTATTTACAGCTCTCATGTCTGTTTTGAATCTGCAGAAGAGGAATATCAAGGGCAAACCAAGAGAAAACGCGTTCGGAGGAGGAAACAGAAGAGCAGTTTGCTCATCTCTAATAATTTGCATGGAGAACAAACGGATTCTGGAACACAAGAGACTCTTGCTCAGGATAACATACAGCTGCAGCAAACAGACAGCCCCAAAATAAGCAAAAACAAGAAGAGGAAGCTGAAAAAGAAGCGACAGAAGGAAAAGAGGAGAGCAGCTGGCTTGGTGACAAAAGCTGCCGGTGTGGATTTTACATACCAGCCCGACAGAAACAACGGAGGAGAAGCAGCAGGCTTAAAAGACATAGATGCAAAGGCAGATAGCATTCTGGACTTCCTGCAGGCAACACAACAGATCTATTTTGCTGACAGTATGTACCACTCTTTCTCCTTTCTTTTCATGTGCATTACCACGCAGAGGGAAATGGATGTGCATTTATCTGACTGCTGTAGAACGGGACAAATCTGCTAGGGAGGTGTCTCTTGAACTCAGCCAGACATGCAAGTACTTAGGATTTGTCCTACTTAGTGGTGTGTACATGAATATGTAGTAGTCCACATCAGTAGGAAGAGCCTGTGGTCCTAATCTCTCTGTTTCTCTGTCTTTGAGAATATACATAACATTCCTTGCTCTGTTCTTAACATTCTGATGCACTTGGGGCAAGGGGTTAAAATGGGCCAAGTTCTTTCCTCTGCCAGCAAACAGCCAGGATTGGATCCTTCCAGAGCCTCGAATGAGGGCAGCTTAAACTGCCTTGATGCTGCTGTCTCTGAACAAACCTCCTCTTCAGAACGTTCTCTGTTGTGCTGTGTACTGAGATGCAGACAGGCAGCACAGCATGCCAGAGGGAGGGGAGGCACTGCGGGCTCTGGGGCAGTGTGTTGGCATAAAGCACTTGGGAACTGGTGGTCAGTGCACATCCCATGGTACCTGCAAAAGGATTGCATGGGCATTATCCCTGATCAGCCTTATGAATGTTCCTCTGGTCACTGACATCAGAGACAGTCCCAGTGCATGTTTTCTCCATTGCCTTCCTGCAAAGCTCTTTGGATGGTGCTTGTGCCATGAATGCCTTTCTGAGACTATGAAGTGGCAGTGCTAAGTGCTCCAGTCCTTATCTGTCCGTGCACCAGGCTGGGCTGGTGTCATCTGCAAACACCTTTCCTTAAGGGCAGGCTGGTGTGTTCTGCAGTTACTCACCTCAGAACAGAGCTATGAAATAACTGCCTTGTAAAACTGGGAAAAAACAGGGGAAAATGCTTCCAAGTGTGTGGCCTTGGCTGTCTTTGTGGGGCTGAATGGAGAACACAGAGCAGCTTCCTCAGCAGTGGGAGCCCATAGTAGGTCAGAGCTGTCAGCTCCTGGTCCCCTAGGATTCCTCTGTAGGCCACAGAGTTACCTCAGACACCCTGCTGCGATCATATCAGCGATTTCATCTGACTTCTTTCCTCCAGATTTATACACAGAATTTTCGTTGCTTACTGTTAAATTTTCCTGCTGTGTCAGGCCTTCCTACTCAGCCTAGCACTGGAAATCTGTCCTGCTCTCAGGCTAATGCGTTTCCATCACCAAAACCAAGGATGTTACCACTTCACCATATGGCTAAGCAAATGTGTGCTGAGCCGTGTGCGTTTGCTGCAGAGGAGCTGAGTGACTGAGCAGGATTGCACACTCAGGCAGCAGTTCTGCTGTTCATCCCTGGCCCAGGACGGGAGCCTGCTCAGTTCTCCACAGCTGTGTGGCGTGTCAAAGTTGAACAGAGTGTTGTTGGCCTAATAGCTTTCTTGGAAGGTAAGTTCAGGTTCTGGCAGCTTTTGACAGGCTGACTGGCCCTGGTGTCAAAGCAGCAGGTCAAAGTGTTGAGCCAGTGAGGACTTTGGAGTTCTCAGAAAAAAATCCTTAGGTAAGAGGATGCAGACACCTCTGAAACACCTCCAGGGATGGTGACTGCACCACCTCCCTGGGCAATATCCCAGTGCTGAACACCACAACAGGGAAAACATTTCTCCTCATACCCAATCTGACTCTGCCCTGGCTCAGCTCAAGGCCATGCCCTTGGTCCTGTCCCTCAGCCCTGGCAGGAGAGACCAGACAGACATGATACTATTTGCCTTCCCTAGCTGAATGACTGCAACACTCCCTATTCTCTTGGATAGAACTGCAGGCCACTGCTTTTAGCAGCATTTTCAAATGGTCACACTGGGCTGTACTTCTAGTAGATATGTTGAAAAGCTGAATTGGGAAAATTCTGTACCTTTCCGATGAAAACCAGAAGAATTAAGGGAGTCTGGTCAAAGGGATAAACTGCACATTGTTCCTGGGGTGGGAGAATGATTTTGTGCTCGGGTGCTGTAGAAGCAGTGCGTGTGCTCCTGTGCTGCCCTGCAGGCTGCAGAGTCTGCCTCGGAGACGTGCACGAGGGGCCGTAGCAGGGCAGCTGGGACCCTCCAGGAGTGCTCTGCAGAGCTGCCAGAGCTGCTCCCTGGCTGCAGTGCCTGTGCACTTTTGTGATGCTTAGTGTAGGAACCACAACCACAGAGCTTTGGCCACAGTGGTGTTTGTTCACACCTCCTTCCCGTGCTGACTTTGGAAATTCAATGAAATTTCCAAATTCCAAATTTGG